TTTTTTCATATTAGGGTGGGAACTTTCAACACTTATATTTTTAACATGTTCGACCACCACAACCGATTGAAATTTGTCACTAGTATATATACAGACTCCTCCACGAACATAATTTTTTCGCGATACACATGACCTTATTTGATATACAGTAATCTTTATGAAGTCCTTCTCTTCGGAACAAAGCCAATGTTCAGTAAAACACACACCATAAATCTGGTTTAAGATCCAATATTTTCAAGTGAGCTTCGATATCAGTAAATAAATACCTGCTCAAATATACTGCGCAACCGAGTCAAAATGGCACTATTAATAGTATTAATCATCTGTAAACTGCCCCAGTGCGCAACGGCAAATAATAATAATAATAATAGCAGTCTCTATCCCACACACGCTCAGCTTCAGGGTTTAAAAAATAATTACTGATGAGGGAGTGGAAAATATTATTGCTATAAATAAATAATAGGCTAACATATTGGTATCGTTGAATAGGTAAATTCATAACGAATGTAATGCTAAAATATTTGAATAAATGTAGTTAATTGAACCTAAAATGAGCCATATTTATGACTAGTTTCAAAACACTGTATAAAATAATTAATTTTCATCACCACTATTCATTAGCTTGGTACCTTATAAGTCTGTAATTTAAACAATTTTTAAATCATAGCTAACCCTACCTAAATTATGATAATTTTATTTAGGGTCTGCATCATTCCCTAATTTTACAAAAAAAAAAAAAATGGTTGGCAACCCTTTTCAAATCCATATAACTTTTATTTGAAACTTATGCACTAATGGCATGTGTATGTGTAATATTTTTTCCATGCCTTGTTTTATTAGGAAATAATTAAAAATCAATATTTTGTCTTAAAACTAGGAGGTATACTTTATCTAATATGAATTGAATATTTTAACAAAAACCTTTTCGTCCAATTTGTATTCAACCATCCGGTACGCATAAGTGTACCAAATTCTCCTCTGTTATAAAATATTCTATTAGTTTTCATATTGGTTTCTGTAAAAAAACAAATTAATGGAAAACCGAATAAAATTAATCATCAGTGCTTATCTATAATAAAATTGTGACTGTAAATAAATGTGAAAAAAATATATTTATTTATACTGATAAAAAAAAATACAGTTAATATAAAAATCATATAAATAACAAAAAATATATACTAGAAAAAATATATGGAATGTTGCTGAAAGAAAACGGGAAATAGAAAATAATATAATTTGTAGTAGTATGCACGAAATAGCAGAAGAGTAATAACTTATTTGTAGATGGAAGAGTAAAAATTATAAAAAAAATTATTGATACATTTTCAAAAGCAGAAATTTTAACAATAAATTCTTTAAAAACATAAAAAAACAGTATGGTTTTCAAGAATATACAACATAAGTTTTTAACAAACGTCAACTATTCTAGCAAAATCCTTAATATGCCAGTTTTAAATAAATAATATTTTCAAAATGGATAATGATCCGTCAGCTGTTAAAATTGCAGTGGTTAATGAGTTTATAAAAAAAGGAGATGAATCGAAGAAAACAAACTATACACCAATTTCTCTTATTACAATTTTGTCTTAAATTTTCGAAAAATAAATAAAAAATAGGTTTAGTAACCTTCTTAAAAAAAACAAACCAAAATTTCTGAAAAACAGTTTGATCTTAGGGAAGATCTGTTAACAAACGATGCACCTCAAAAGTAGTAGTGTGAGAAATTATACAATGTTTGAAAATTAGTAAACCATACTATACATCTACCTATATTCTATACCTATATTCTAAAGCCTTGAAAACTGTCGATTATCGTCATATATTGCAGGTATTGGCCAATATGTGCATGGCTGCTTATTCATGGTTTATCGCAACAATAATTATTTACTATTTATTTAACAGACATAATATGGCAAGTTGTAAAAATTAATAGCACATACACCTGTAAAAAGGCATTTAGATTTGTTTTCCCCCACCAACAGTTTTAGAACTCACTTTATTAATCTTCTATATAAGTAATAACTGTCTCATATCTGAACCACAGATGAACCACAACAGATGCGAAACCCGGCAAAAGATCAAAGGATTTTGAAATGAGATTTCTATGACCTTGGACTTTAAATGGGTATGGCATAGGTGTTGCCAATTTTAGTTATTTTCAATCAGTCTTACTAAATATGATTTTCTTCTATACATGCGTTTTGGATGCCAGAGTTGGTTTAGGTAATTAATGGTTTAATGTATAGTAGCAGCACGAGAATGTTAAAAAGTTATCGATAGGAGTTTCATTTTTAAACATTTTAAAAGAAAAAGAATATGATTTGTATTAATATTTTCATGTTATTATAGGTAAAAAGTTATGACAAGCAACGAATTATAATGTAAAGGTTTTAAAAATTTGTTAAGTGGGCTTAGCCATCAAATCCAGTTAATAGGCCTCCATTTTCCCTTTAATATGATGATATAAATATATTTGCAATTAGTGGCCTATTGATGGGAAGTTAACGGGAAATTGCAGGCATTTTACCATATTAATACTGACTGCTAAATAAAGGCCATGTGCCAGGTACAATTCGATAGTGCCTCTTTGACCAGCAGTACTGTTTGAAGTATAAATATAAAACCGAATGCATTCCAATATACCTAGAATATTGTAGACATTTTATTTAATTCTGCTATATAATATATGTATAATAGATATAAAATGTCTTCTACAAAATGTATATTCATAAAATATTCTAAATTAACATGTATGAGTAAGAAACTATAATGAATAGTGAATACCAGCAATCCGAAACTGGCCTCATGTCCATTCGTTGAGTATGTAGCAAGTGATCATCGGTATCTCCATCTATGATCGCGGGACGGAACCCTCCTGGACTTTTGGGGGGGGGGGGGTTAGGTCTGCGGCAGTTAAAAGCCTTTTGACTTTTACCTCGGGCTTACCCAATCCAGTTATTTACCCTTCATATGGCTATCATCAATCAACATAATGCTCTAGGCCACTATCAAAAGGACAAAAGTAGGCTTTCGTTTTTTAATCGTCGTATTCATTTTCCCTTCAATTACAGCAAAAGGCCAGCAATATCCCGGCAATTCATTGTTTGTTGGGATACAATATAAATCCTAACAAGTATACCAATACAACTTTTGTAAGTAATGGAGGTTTGAATACTTATTGCATACAGCCTATTAGCAGGAAATTACAATTCTATCGCCTGTAGCCACAAACCTAATAAAACAAATATTGAACAAATAGTTTGGTAGGTTGGTACTTCTGAACTCTAAAGTATAATTGGATGAAAATGCGAAACAGAACATGTATTCATGAATATTCATTAAATTTGGTTTTAGTTTTATATCTATCTAAAGCACTCATTAGATATTACTTAAAATACATACCTTTCTATTTTTTTTTTTTTTTGGCTGATTTCTGAAATATCTGTTGCTGAATTTTATTAGGTAAAATATTTGAAGACAAATAAATAACTTTAAAAAGTAGTCATAAGTAAAATGTTGACAAGAGTGTTTAAATCCTTAAACTATATTAAACAAATTATACGAATTATTTCAAGTGTGGGATAAGGTAAGTAATTTTCAAAAAATAAATATTCCAACTGATAAATGAACTGATAAAAACATGCGTTTGGTGTTTTTAAACTTCCAAATAATGATTTGATATCATAAGCTTTCAAATGATTAAAAATATTGTTGCTACCTAAAACGAAAGTTGCAGTATAAAAGTGTACATTTACAGATATGAATACGTGCCTAGATGCCACCACGACGTATATTCTTCGTTTCACTCATGATTTATCTACAGAAGAAGACTAGCTACAAATACACAATATTTTTATCCAAAAATGCACACTACGCAAAGCGTCACGACCGGTCCTGATTGTCCTGAATGTCACAGAAATGTCATCTCACTTAAAGCATCCTAAGCAAGGTTGTCACATAAAAAATTAAAATTTCACGCGTTTTTAAAGTGTCATTGATTGCCATTAATAAATGTAAACTATAAACCTTTAAATGGTTTTGTATTATTTTATGTTTAGCGGATTTTAATTATGCGTTATTTGTTATCCTCTGTGGTAACTAAAAAATGTATGTACATTTTTATTTAACTTGAAGTCCAATGTCACATAACATCAGAAAACCTAGGAGCATCGACAACTTCGCATAATGAAATAACTTCTGCATTCGGAACTGCGCGAGTTGAAACGAGTTGCTACGAGGGACCTTTAAATGGGTATGGCCATTTATCTCTCTCTAATTTTGATGTTCTTTGTCAACTTTCGCATCTGGGTAATCTGTGTCTGAACCTAATAGAATACGACAACAAAGACTGGGCGCGCACGTTAAAATATACACAAAACGATCTATTAAAAATAATTGATCTGTTCTATTTAATCAAAACTATCTTACTGTAACTTTTCTTTTCTGTTCGCAATATTTCAACTTCATTTTCACTCTCTCAAGGCCTCCAAAGTGCCATTGCTAATAAATATTATTTACTGTGGCACAAATTCAAAATAATACAATATACTCTAAATACCACATAAACGAAAAAATATCTCGAGACAACAAACCAAACTACAACTCTTTATATCTTAACCAGCTACGCCACTGGTTTTTACGACCAAATATTGTGAAAAACAAAACACCTATATAAATGCTTAGATAATATATGTTCTAAATGCCCAAGCGATAAGCAAATTACTGACTAGTTTCTAAGCGGCGGAAGTTCATAACTCCGTTTGTTCTACTCTATGCTAAATAGTTCAGCTTCTCAATCGTTTAAACTGCTCAACGCATTACAACAGTACCTATATACAAACAAGATCATTTAAATGTGACACTAATTTACTTATCCAATACCTTACAGTCGTTTATTCGCAAATTCGGACCGCTGTCGATAACTACGATTTTACCTAGTGTATTGTTCAGTATTTCAATTTGTAAAAAATATACCAAAATCGAGTAAAATTTTGTTTCAGGAAAAAGTGACAAGTTGTGAAAATTGTTCGAAATATTTAAAACAATCTAGTCCAAATAAGTCTCGCGGAGATGAAGCAGCAACTGAGGAAGAACGAATACGAGAATTAGAGTTAGAATTAGCCCAGACCAAACTTGCACATGTAGAAGCAGAATGTCGAAATCAGGTAAATTAAATATTTTTCTTTCACAGAATTGAACAATATTAAAAAATTAATTTTTTGTATAATTTATTTCATAATCTGCTAATAAAATATAAATGGCTGATTCAATAGAATTATGAATTTATTAATTGAAAATTAAATTTATTGTTATACATTAGCTATAAAAATATATTTTTTAATTCCATTAAGTCTCCCTTTTTCATATAAAAATGCAGTGTCCGATCATGCTTTTATTTGGCCTATTTTATTCCTTTCTTCTACCTTTATCTCTGACACTATTCTAATAAGATGACTATCATCTTTTCAACGATATATACAACTTTCTTTATAGTTTTGTGCCATCTTGTAAACCTGCTCATCCAATTCAGCACCCTTATGTGAGTATTAATGCACTGCTACCTAAAAGATCTATTTTGTCCCCTTCTGTCGCTAATGCATCGAGGAAATAGGTTCGATGCCTATAACGACCCTTCTAGTCCAATCCCTTCTCAATAAAGTGTTGGATTTGGAGTGGATTCAAGTTAGGTAGATCGCTCTCTTCTATTTGGTATGCTCCTTAGTATGCCCTTGGATTCTGGAGTGTTATACATTCAGTCAGAATGTGAATGAGGTTTCTTCCTCTTCTGCTCTATTTATCTTCTACTGCTCAGTTTACTGAGGTGTCCATTGAGTGTACAATGCCCAGTAAGGACCCATGTTACAATGCGTAGCCTGTTCTTGTTCAGGCAGGTACAGGTTCCGATCTTTTCTGGTTATATTCACCCAGAAGCATCTTAGCCTGTCTTGGCCCCAAGAGATTGTTCCAATTATCGGTTCTTCTACTGCCCAATTCTTTTTGTTCTTTTTGCCACGTTATCTATCATTAAATATAGAAGGGTCAGGTTTAACATCACCTCCATTGAGACTGTAGGACATGTTCTCATTGCAACGGTGATGCAAACATAGGCTAGTCTTTGAACTTTTGAGATATTAACTCTCGAAGTAGATAAACTAGTTCTGTTACTCCAGGCTACAGCCTCGTAAGTAAAGATTGGTCTCACTATTGCAGTATACATATATCGCAGTGTTTGGGTTACATCCCCATCTTATACTCGCAATGTTTTTGCGTACCTTTAGGTATTTTGTGGCTTTATTTACTACTTATCATGTATGTTCTAGAGAAGTTTGTTGTCCAGGGTTAAACCTAGATATTTAACTTATTTTTTTCCATTCTTTATATGTCCCGTCTAATTTTACGATTTTGAGATTGAGTTTTCTTTTCCTTGAAAAGGCTACTTGTTGTTTCCCACCTCGCAGCACCATATTTTGTTCTAATCCTCTTTGGCCTACATCACACATGATATTTCCAGACTTGCCTCTAGCAAATATGACTATGTCGTCGGCATAACCTTGACAGTGTATGCCAAGGTCAGTCAATCTGCATACAAGTTCGTCTATGGTTAGGATCCAAATAAGTGGGGCTATAATTCCTCCTTGTGTATATTCTCTGGTTGTACAGATGGAGATGGTGTCCTGCCCTATCTGTATTTCTACAGTTCTCGTAGATAGCAGCTGAGTCATCCATCTGGATGTGGTGCTATTTACTTCTCTTTATGGTAGAACTCGTTTGACAGATTCGTGTGGCGTGTTGTCAAACGCTCCTTCTGTATCTAGAATGCATACACGATCAGTCGGCTGTACCAGGGCAGTTTCTTAGTGAATCTCCTGGAAATCACTGCGGATGTTTCCTTGGCGTAATGAATATTCACTTGAGCGATGTTAATATCCGCCATTTCGTTCTCCATCAATGAGGGTGTCGTTTCCACTGACAGTGTCTTCTCTACTCCCTTCGCCCCTTTCTTTCTCTCTTGTGAGGCTGTACCACATGAGAGGTTGAAGAAGTTTGATCGCTTCGGATGGCAGGCTCCATTCGATCAGATTTGGGCGTGATATATTCCCGCTGTTCCTTTTTAAAAGTCTTGATTGTATCCATATAGTCCTACGAGCAAGTAGTGAAGGAGAAGTCGACTGACGCAGAGTCTCGCTGCGCCGACAAGGTTAGATACAAGAGGGTGTTGTCGTCCGGTGTCCTTAGGGATACGTTAGTTGCCACATGTATCCCTGTTACAATTCATCCATCGGCACCTTATATTGGTTGAATTGCAAAAGATTTTAAAAGTTTTTAAGCCTTTTCATTCTACTTATGTCTACCACCTAGCCAAGAGATCCTGGCCGTTCTCCTATCCACCACCTGGAGATGTGCCCAGTTGGTACTTGTCCACTAGGTAAATTTGTTTCGGCAATTTAAACCGACAAAAATTTTTCGATAAACCTTTAGTTTAGTCCTCATTTTCAATATATTGCACTAACGGCGTTTCGGCTATTAGTTAACTTAACGTCTGGACGAAACGAGGGTTTTAATACACGTTAATACACGACTATAATGGTTAAAGATTCTGATAAACTAAGTTGGGATCGAATCTAAGTACTCAAATTGACGGCTAATATGCCAGATACATAAGCTCTGACGGTTTAGCAGTTAGGATGTTGGAACGACAATCCAGAGGTGCCGGTTCGAGCCCCGACCAAAGCGGATTCCATTTTATTTTTTTATTTTTTATTTTGGTTTGTTATTGCCATCCGGTCTCTTTACTTTTAAAATAGTTTTTCTCAAAACCACGTCAAATATAGTTATTATAGTTATTTTGGCGATATATCAACGAGATCTTAGGTTATTGTATTTCTAGTGTTTGTAGTGTATTTTTGTTCTTCGTTTGTTCTTCACTAGTATGTCTATTAAAATTAACAGGATTTAAAATACCAATGTTGACCTACTACTGGTGACACAAAATAACAAGTAGCATTCAGAACTGTTATTTTTCATTATTCTTTATAGTGTAATACCAGTCAATGGAAATTATTCTTTCTGCGGAAAGCTAAGTGTCACAACCTAAATTGTTAATGTATTGAAAACTAATATTTTGGAGATTCTAAAACCGGAGGTGATCCAAAATTAGACTGTGCAAAAGGGTACTATTATCAATAAAAAAAAAACGAGATATTGGTAACATTGCAAAATCCAAAAGTCCCTTTGCAAGTTACGCAAATATATTATTTTAAACATTTTAAAAAGCATTGGGGCTTATGGCCCAAAAAAACAAAATGTGATTTTCTCGGTTTTATCTTAGGAAAAAAATGCCAAAAATGTTGCCTTTTCATGTTTACACTACGAAATTATCTAAATAAGCTTTCAAAACAAAAAGTCATTCTTTATAAAAGTTTCTAAAATGTATATTAAAACGGTTCGCATTCATTGATTTACCGTCGGCTATCGGTATCTGCTTCCTCACTGCTTCGTATACCCACCTATGACTGTAAACATGTATCTATCTCGATCGCACTATGACACTAGCCCAGTCCATATTATTGCCATATCTCGGTATATTTTTTTTTTGTAGATAAATTATTATAATAGTTCTGACAATATTTTATATAGAGTGTTCCAAATTGGACCGACCCAAGTGAAACAGTTCATAGATTTCATAATTTTAGTTAAAAACGTTCATGTTAACAAGGGACCGATCTCGATCACTAGTGGATTTACGGGTGTTTAAAGTGTTTCTTTATTATAAGAAAACATTTATCAAAATTAGAGATGTAAAAGTTACATAACTAATTAAAAAAGCAAAAAAAATCACTTATGGCGTGCAATTGAAAATGTATTGTTTCTGTAAATTTTGACCACCCTGTAACTTTGTTACTGATCGAGATCATACCAATATTGATTATGCTTAAAATGCTTAAAATTATGAGATATATAACCTGCCTCAGTTTGTTTTATTCAATTTGGGACATCCTGTATAATATATGACCTTTAAAATAGGGATATTGAATTTTATTACATTGAAAATAATTAATGTGCCACAAGTAAAATTAGAATGATAAAATATCAATCTGAAAGAGCCCTGAACTTTAAGGCCACACAGTACCACCCCTAATATTCGTAACATGAACTAATTTTGATAGATGTCATTTATGTGTCATAAATTAAGAATCCTTTTGTTCAACAGATGGATCAATATTCCATATTTAATAGTTCTTTTGTTCAACAGATGGCGTAATAATTTTTTTAATTCTAAACGGTAACTGTTATAAAATAACAAATTCATCATCCCTCGCCACTACGCGATGATAAGTAAACGAGTTGTTGACCTTGACAAATATTTTCGATGTAGCAGGTACCTAAATAAAAGTTTTGGATTAGATTCGGAATATCGGTATATTTACTTAATAGTTCATTCTTGTGTCCAGTCAACAAAGGATAAAGGTCTTCGTATCATTACGTAGGGACCTATTATACTATACATGGTGTTTCGTTAAGAATGGGACACAGAACAACTGACGATTCTCTGAATAAAAATAAGACAACTAAACAAATCATGCTTAGATAAAATGTTTCTCGTTTCCGAATTACGGTGTTAAAATTCAAAAAAATATTTATGGCTATATTTTTATTACTCACAACAATTTTACTAAATTTGGCAAACGTTTTTGGTGTTATAATATCCACCTATCAGCAAAAAAATTAGTTACCTTAATTAGCTTTTCCATTGGCGTACAGCATTGGTACGAAATACCGCTTCCCTCCTAAATTTTACGTCACTATCCAAAAAGTTATTTGGACATAAAATTTTAAATTTTTTGATGTTTTTTAAATAAATAATGTACTTTTTAGAAATTTAATAAAAAAAAATCGAAATTTAAGAATTTCAGAATTTCCAAATATGTGCGAATATCTCAAAAACTGACTCAACTTTATTTGAAAAACATCAAAAGTTTTTGGTCAGTGGACTAAAATTTAGAAGGGAAAAAGGTGTTACTTGCCCATGAAGTACGCCACTGGCAAAGCTTATTTAATTTATTTTTTGCTGAAAGGTTTATTTTATTACACTTATAACGTTTGCCGAATTTAGTAAAATAAAACTGAGTAATAAAAAAATGTAGCTATTCATAATTTTTGGTTT